TAAGATATTCAGCTTAGACCATGTTCAAATCCTGGTTCCAGCCGTGTCATCCAAACCTTGTCGAATGGTGAATGTGGGCAATCTCAGCATTCCAAGTCTTTTCATTGAGCCTTGTTCGCTTTGTTTTTCTCTTTGGTAGCTGAGACAACTGCAAATAAGGGTTGCACTCGGTCATTTCAAGTCATATCTTTGACATTTTCAGGTTAAATTCAGTGACAATCATGCCAGACGTGCATTCCCTGGTGAATGATTTCCTTATCAAGCTTAAAAAACGGTAAGGTCTTCAGCACAATTCATAGAGTCTACTGGTACAAGTTGAGGGCTCTTAGTGGTTAATAGCCCTATTTCATAATTCATATATTGATTTTGGATTTTTTGTGGTGGTAGTAATATTGAGGGCTCACAGGCCACAGCAAAGCTGACGGCGGAATTACTTCGGTCCGTGATTTCATCACAGCGGGTACCCTACACAAATCAAGCTGGTGCGTTGATAGATGCTGTTAAAGCTGTTGGGGAGCAGCTGATTGCTGCAAATCCTATTGGTAGGTTATTGAAAAGTTACAAAAGTTTGTTAATCACAATGATGCGGAACTATTTATTTTGATGAGTAAATTTTGTCATTAGTGCCAAGGTCATTGATGTTACTTGAAAATCTTTCTCAGTAATATCTTAAGAGACACAGGGCAGTGTATTGAATCCCTTTTCATCTGAAGGTGGATTTTCCATAAAAACAAACCACAAAATTTCTTGTTTCTATCTAACAAAGTTCTGTTTTGTGATAGTTATTTGATCACATGATTGTGGGTCCCTTTGGCTCCATATTGGCAGAATCATATAACATTCAATTTGTTGTAACATGAACTCCTTCATCGTGAGTGTGGGATTGAGAAGCTAGGATTATGGTTTTACTCCTCCCACTGCATAAGCCCAAGAAACATAAATAAAATTTGTGATATAATCACCTAGCCTTGCTAAAACGCTGTCCCTACTAAAGAAAAGAAGTGACATGGTACAACAGAGCATAAAGAAGGATTTTCTGCTGATTAGTAGTGATGATAGCTTGATCATTCTATCAGTACATTAAGGGGACATTTTAGTAGTGGTTGATTGAACAGGCTTTTAAGCTAGCGGCTGCTTGAAGACTTTTGGGAGAAGATATTTGAAATGTACTCCTTTGATTGATATCAAGGGAGGTTGCTATGCACGTGTAACAATAATTATGTGGATATGAGGCATTTCTTATTTAATTTTGTTATTTTAGACAATTTTTTTTATTCAAGCACATGCCAGCTATACTGAATTTTTATATTTACTTGCAAACATAGTTAAACTATCAACTTATATGTTATTTTAGACAATTTTTTTTATTCAAGCACATGCCAGCTGTACTGAATTTTTATATTTACTTGCAAACATAGTTAAACTATCAACTTATGTTTGCTCAGTCTATTGACCAAATTTTAAAAACCTCGATGCACTGTAATTCTAGCATGTTACCATTTTTGTTTATCATTACTTAGTACTCCTGTGTTCTGAAATGAAATGATAGCTCCTTTCAACCAAAGAACAAAAATTGTATCTTCTAGTTGCAGAAAGTCAATGTATTTTATACGGGCATTTGAATTTAGAATCTGAGATATATTTTTATCTTCAGATATACTGCAAGGTTTTTCTTTTTATATGGACTTTGGAGGCTTATTTGTTTGATTATTCATAATGACGTTTTGCAAATATGATCGCAGAGCTGGCTGTGGGTAATATTGTGAGGCGTGTTCTGCACATTATTAGGGAGGAGGATCTTTCTCTCACTACAGCTGCTATGGCTGGGTTGAACATGTCGACTGTTAGTGATGATGAAGATGATGGTGAGCGCGACAACCATCCGGTTCTATCTGCTGCTGTTGTTGCTGCTGCTGCAAGAAGCACACTGCGTCCACCATCTTTGCAAACACTTCTTGAGGACATGCCTGATGCAGCAGCTGTTCCTCACACTTCTTCATCTGGGGGTGATTCTGAAGAAAAAACCAAATGTATGATCTTCATTCTTTGGAGCATTGGGAATTTTCGATACACTTTCATTTTTCTCTTTACCTGATCAAAAATTTGTTTAGAGAATGTAGGCATTTGATATATTCTGACCATAAATGTGACTTTTTTGTTTGGATATTAGTTAATTAAAAATTGGTTCCCCCAGCGGTCTCGGCTTTGGTGGTGGAAATGAAGTTATTACCTTTTAATAAAGATTATTGTCTTATGACTTATAGATATATGTTTTCCTTCACAGCTGCTGATAAAAGTTCAAGAAGTCGGAAACTGAAGCATGATGTCATTGAAGCAGTCAATGAACTTATACAAGATATTGGCACTTGCCATGAACAGATTGCCGAGCAGGCAGTTGAGCACATTCACCAGAAGTATGTATTTCCCCCTAGCTTTGACTATTCATTTTTTCTTTCAAATATAGAATCATTTTTCAGTCATACAGAAGCTCAATATCAATCTTGAAATACGCATATGCAATGTAATAAGTAGTGTTAATTTAATTGTGTGAGATTATTATGTTGGTACTGCTCTGTTTCTAATCCGCTTGGAGTATTTCATTCATGGGTTTTTGGTGGTTTATTTTAGGGTCAGTTTGGT